AAACCCAAGCCTCCATAGCAACAATCATGTCCCTTAGGAATACTCCTGGTTTTATTCGTTTGGAGTCATTTTTAACAGTTTTAATTAAATTTTTCATCTATTGACGCTTTGTAAACGATCAAATGTTTAGCGTATGACTGCGATATGTTGACAGTTCAATATAGCAAGGCTCAATGACTGGCACTCCCAACAATTGGCCGATAAACATTTTGTAAACTGCCTTTCTTTTAAAAGGTCAATGCACCTCAGCTGATTGTTAACGTGTTAGTTCGCTTTAGATCTATATGTGGACAGACGAGGTCAAGATAAATAAATGGGTCACACGGTGTTTTTGCGTCATCTTGACCCATATCAGATCGATTGAAAAGTAATTCTTTCAGTATCAGTGCGAGCCATCATTATCAGCAAGGTTGAAGTAAACAACGACGCTAATTTATCTGACCACTTTCAGTACTAGAGCAGGCTTGATAGCTGTATCTTTGACTTCCTCGGCGACTTCCCTTTGGAAACGTATGTGATTTTTTCCGCTTTCACTTTTATGTAAATTTCGACGTTCGAGAAAAGAAAGGTAGGCTAGTGTTTCAGTTACTTGTGTGTCATGTTATCCAATACTGGAGCCCTGCGAATTCAAGTTTGACGAGTTGAACTGGCTTCAACTGGAACTTCCCTCGACTCCCCGCTAAGAAATGTAATAACTCTACTCACCTTGAAATATGTTGTTAAACAGTTAGTTACAACCATTCCTTGAACTCCACGGTGTCTTACTGTTTTACGTTTTCCCTGACATTTCTGCTCGGCGGGGTTCTGCTCTATCTAAAAACAAATCAACCGGAATTTTATCAAAAAGAACTTAAGCATTTCACGCAGTGACTCTACGCTAGTTTTCCCTTCAAATTCAAACCACTCTTACCTTCAGGATATGGTTTTGAAATTCATATTAGACAATAGAAGAATATGCTACAATCAGTTTGTATGCATAAAGCTTTGAAATAACTCTGAATGTTGACGACTACTGAGTCCAAATGTTGTCGGCTTTAAGTAACATCTTGATGCAATTTTAAAATCATAGTAATTCTGGTTTTCCGGGCGTGGATTTTTGATATTATATCAATTTTTGATGATCAAGGATTGAGAAAAAAATTCAAAAAATCTTTATAAAGTCGATTAGACGATCATCTGCATTGGTGCCAAGGCATGATAGACATTTGACAGTTTTTTAATCAGACACAATCTTCTTAATCTGTGACGGGAAAACTTTGTTTATTTGAAGGTTTGTATTCCAACGTTATAGGCTGCTAATTTAAAAACGAAAATGACCGTGGCTGGAAAGATTGACATCGTGACTAGAACTAGAACTCAAGTTCGTTAAAGTGCCACTAAAATCAAATATTCAAAGTTTAATAAAATTGCATTTTTTGAAACCTCGTGTTGGACTCACTCACTAGTCCAAATCGTTTTTTAATCAGAGCACGGAAGTCTGTTTTTTCGGAGCGTATTTTGCCATCTTTTGCTGTCCGCCATCAATGAAACGCGTTCCGACCGAGTAAGTGGAAATGACGTCAGATTCTCAACTCGAAAAACACACACGGCTAATTTCAATAGAGCCGCGTGCAAGAAAACCTCTAACTTGCAATGCTATAAAGTAACCCTCTAACTTGCAATGCTATAAAATACTCTGCTTGGAAAATAATGGATAGGTGACAGAATAAGCTCTCGAGTCGACGACACTATGATTCTCTAAAGCGATGTGGATTATGGACCTAAAGTGAAAACAGTTACGGGAAAGTTTAGTGATATTTTCCTGTAGAAGTTTAAGCATATTTATTCGTTGTTTTCGGAATTTTAGCGTTCACAATTTATGCGAGTTTCTTTTATTGCGGTGTTTTAAAAAGATAAAAAGCCACAAGTAAATTTTGAATAGCCAAGTTAAATTGTAAAGCTGCATCTCGGTACTTTTGTTGTTCGTTCTTTGTGAAATTTTGGGTAAATATAAGTGTTAATGGTCTTTCTGGAAAAAAATTGGTTCTATGGTAGTTAGTAGCTGAGTTAAACTCTTAATTTTAATTTCCTTTCATACGATAGTTTCTACACCAACCTTGCATGGATAAGCAGAAACTTTTAATTACTTTTCCACTCTTATTTCCTAAGCTGCGCTATTGCAATTAAGATAGGTATATTTTCTATACCAGAACTGTGAATTCTCTCCTAAGTTCCTATTTTTAATGACCTCGTGTTGATTGTATCCGTCCTTTTGATTTAAAATTCTTTTCGAAGCAGAAACAGATGGGAATATTTAAGTAGTTTTCGTTTAACTTCAAAGAGATCTCTACCGCTTCTTTCGTTATGCTGTTTAAATGTGGTCGATTTGGATAACAATAGCACTTCACTGCAGTTCGCGTAGTGTTTGCTTCCTGGTTTCTCCAAAATTTTGACTTTGCGTAGGCACGTGTTACACTTCGGTGTCGATGGGTTAACTTCCAAATAATTTGTAATACCGTTCAAAATTTCTTCAGTCCTAACTACAAGCCTGCCAGACTTAGAGGTAATCTAATAACTATTAGCAAATTCACACTAGTACAGAACAGTCAGAAATGGGTATGGCACTACCTACTCGGTACATTTTAACTTTGTATAAGACAAACTCCAAGTAGGCTGAATTGCATAGTAATTATGATCTCGATCTGTTTATTTATAAACTTACTCTCCCTCTGCTCTTTCTCCTAGTGTCAGCATAGTAGTATACGATTTTTTAGACCTTGTTTTTAAACCAATACCAGCAGTTTGTAGCACCCTTCTGTTCAAACAAACACTTTCAAATCCTGAGTGATGTGTAATACAATGAAATGGTTGACATCAATGTCTTGAACAAACACTTCAATCAAAGCAAAAAGCCGGTATCAATACTTATATAAACTTAAAGAAAACTTCCCAACGAGAGCCTATCTACAAATCATTCTCTGACGTCGACTTCACCAGAGAATCTTCTGAGAAGATGTTACTCTTGTTCTTCCTCTACAGCGACTTGCATGCGGCGTCTTGCTCAGCTTCTTCTTCATTTGCGATCGGCTCGACACTTTCGTCATATAGTGCAAAATCCCCTGTTGCCGATAAGAAACTATCCTCCGAGGTGCTAGTCAAACGCTGAGTCCTCTCCTGATGAAACTTGCGAATATTCCTTTTCTGAGCTCGACATATTTCCCGATGATTTCCCTTGCCAAAAGTATATTTGTACCTTTATTTTTATTTTATTTTTTTTATTTTATCTATGTTTATTTCCGATCCCAAGGTACTATTTGATTTTGAAAAGCAGTGGAAAGAAAAGAGACATTTTTCGTCTCAGTGGCACTTTAATCGCAGAAAATCGTAGAATTTTCACTGTCGTTGCATTGTTAACGACTTCGTTCGTAAGTCAAATCAAAGACATGTCACTTGAATCAAACTGAATTGGCTTTCTGTTCAGTTTTCCCTCGTTTTTCTTTATCGGGCGGAGAGCGTGAAAAAGAAAAGCGTCTGAGATAGTAATAACAAACATGGAAGAGCAAAGACCAAGAAAAACAAGCATAGATAGACAAACGAATTAGCCCGCCGCAAAGGCTAGTACAAACAAAGCTAAATATTTGGTATATTTCAAATCAATGCTTGAATGGTGTTACATGATTAAGTGAATCGTCCTCTCCACAAGTCAATGCTTTTGAAGGCAAATAGATTTGAACAGATTGAGTCGCAAAGTTTCTTAATCATGTAAGTTTGTCATTTCCGTCCGGATAAACGTCCTCGACATAAAAGATTCGAACATGTTTCATGTCATAAAGGGTACAATACCCAAGTTATGCTTTTACTGGTTTTTGGTCACGTTTAAATGGCTTCCATTAAAAGCTAACCTTTTCCGCTGACCTTTCCGTGCCGCAAACGAAAATGTGTATTTAAGTCTTAGCTGACATGAAAGAACAAAAACGTTCTTTAAGTCATAACTAAATAAACAGTTCTGAATGTTAGCACAGTACGTACTAAGATTGAACTGAGGCCGTCCACTTCCGAAAAGCTTTCGGCGCGAAATAGTTTGGAGCACGTACTGACTACAAAAAATGACAACAAGTCACCAAGCAGGAAATTAGCTCTGCGCGGGTTCTTGGCCTAATATGATCATTCCTAAGTTTAAATTTAGGTTTTCCTTTCGCGTTCCGTCAGATAATTCGGTCTTCGTCGCATTTTCGCTATCAAAATTTGACGGAAATAGCGGCACATTTATTGCATGGACAAGACATTACAACTAGAAGGGTATTTCAAAACAAAAGAGGGGTTGTGTGGAAAAGTATTGGAAAGGTAAAAGTAACAAAGCCAAATAGCAACAAGGATAATTTAGGATGAGAGACATTCACGCGGATTCCAATTGAAAATGACAACCTTCAAAAATGTACACTGACTTACTCAAGGTCGACGAAAGATGACGTCGCTTGCATATTTATTTTCTTTGTCTTACTATGAAAGTATTAAAGTCACATTTCATGCAGCCATCCCACAGAGTAGAGTTAAATCAAAATGATACATCAAAAATTTAACGCTCTGTAATTTGCTTTTAACACTCTGCAATCCTAAGGGACCGTTAATTTTTTACGAGGTGGGGAGGGGGGGCTAGCGGGATTTTTTGAGCTTTCATTAAAAAGTTACATGACCCCCCCTCAGTCGTTTAATTTTTTCCATGACCCCCCTAATACAGGTAAATTTTTATCGGTGTAAAACATATCCCATCTTAAGGCATTACTAAAATATTTTACGTGACCCTCCCCTTTTTGCCTTATTTTTTTTTAGATGGGCCCCCTTTAAGGCCGTTTTTTTGGTTACCCCCCAAATCCCACCAACCTTGTAAAAAATGAACGGTCCCTAATTCAGTTATTGTGGTTTTCATTAAAATAGATATCAAAGTTGCCACATCACCCGATTATTTGGTGAAGGCTCTACAACGTTCGGAATGAATGTGAGCAATGCTACCGGTGGGAACGACATGACATCTTGCATTTCAACAGAGGATCCTGTGGCAGCTAAAGTCTCCAAGACGTTTGCCTACTGCTTGCTTCTTGTAGTATCACTTATCGGAAATACTTTGATCATCATGGTAGTTTATCGCGATAAAAAAATGAAAACCACCACAAACTTACTCATCGTAAATATGGCCATTTCCGACCTCCTAGTTCCAATATTCGCTATGCCTCGGGCTAACGTCGAGATAATCTTCGGAAATCACCGATGGCTTGTCGATGGCACATTCGGAGAAGCCCTTTGCAAACTCACGGCATTCTTTCAAGACATCTCTACGCTGGTTTCCGTTCAGACCTTGGTGGCGATCGCTTTGGACCGTTTCTACGCTGTTTGGTTTCCACTAAAAGCTCTGCGAATCAAACCTAGAGTGAAATACGTTATTTTGCTCATCTGGTCGATATCAACAGTTATTCACGCCCCATACCTCTACGGATTCCAGATTCGCACTTTTGACAACAGTAAAACATACTGTTTTTTGGGTTGGTCAGGAGATGTTACGAAAATCGTCTTTTTAGCACTGATAACATTAATTTATGTGATACCGCTGCTTCTGATAACAATTTTCTATGGTCTGATAGTACGAAAGCTGAGAAAGCAAACTCTCTATGGGGTACGGAATTTAGTGGTTCACTTTAGCCGCCGCGAAAAGAGAAATCGCAATGTACTTAAGATGTCTTTGGCAATTGTGGTGGTATTTTTCGTTTCAATGTCACCGTTTGTAGTGTATTTATCAATTGAACTTTTCAGTCCCGAAGGTTCAGTTTGTCTTTCTAAGAACTTTCGCTTTGTAACTCAGTATTTGGTACACTGTAACGGCGCTTTGAACTTTTTTACCTACTTTATCTTCAATCAGAGCTACCGTCACGGTTTCTTAATGATTCTTTCACGAGTTTTTTGCGCTTCATCTTACCGTTGTCGCTGGAAAAAAGAAGTGGAATTAACTTCACCCTCTATCGGACGAGAATCGCACACAGTTACCAGAGGAACTATCAACCAAGGAATGGACTTAGATCAAAAGGATGTTGTACTTATTCAGTTACGCTCACTACACGAAACTGAGTGCAGGGAAGGGACAAATGGAAATATTGATAACATCTGAAGAGTATTTTCAATCCAAGCTCTCATTATGAATCGCAACCCTGAACACTTTAACATCAGTATGCATATTTTTCATACTGTTTTCCATACATTTCCTGAGGTGCTGACAAGGAGAATTTGATTAACACTCAAGAGCTTGTAGCCATCAATTCCTTTATTCTCGTGGTTTTAATTTTGATTCAGGCGCGATATTGTAAGAAGAATTTACATGCTTGTCACTCGCAGGGGTTAAAAGGTTAGAAGAAATATTACAAGAATGCAAGGTTTCAAGGGTTGAACGTCAAATCTCCTTTTCAGGGTACCAATTGCATGCAGAGAGCGGAACCTTTTGATTATGATGTGACATTCGGAGTGCGTCCAGTTTTATGATAAGTCATACTTTGAAAGCTTCTGGAGTTAAGGGAAGCTGAGAAGCCTCATTTCCAGTCGTTGCTGAGTATGTCAGCGACGCTCTCCAAAAGCATCTTTGGAGAAAGTGTTGTGTGACATCTCAACTAAAGGCTGTGAAGGAGACTAGGAGCTGAAACAGGCAGAAGACTAGGTGACCGATTCCGAGAACACCTTCGCGACGTGGAGAGGAATGACAAGGACACATCGAAACCAGTCGCTAGACATTTTTTATTTACCCAATAATTCTAAGCAACATATGGCAATCTGCGGTCTTTCCTTACACTTAGGTAGCACGGAAAGCCGCAAAACTCTTGAACAAAGGCTCACCTTTCAAACCGGCAGTCTAAATCCCACAGGGATCAACGAACGCTATTCAGAAGAGTCATGCAAGGGAACTTGATGGGGACGAAATGATTTCACGTCGTGAAGCTTTGCCCGTGAGGTGGCTCTTTATTCATTGTTTTGTTGTTGTCGAAAGAAAACTAGCAACAGAGGTAGCATTAAAAAATCTGTCAATACCAGTAAAATGTACCCATGCACCTTGCGTATCTCCTGCTCCTCTGTTTCTGTATATCTGTTCCATTTCAAACGACTAAGGGTGTTACTAAAGTAAC